GAAAAATCGAGTTTGTTCACGGAAGAGTTGGTGCGCATAGAGTGCGAAATTGGCTACTTTCTGACCGTCCCGTGCGGATTGCGAACGCGTCGAAATGTCGCAGGCCGCTCACGTACGTCCCGTTTGTATTTATGCATGTATGTACACAAACCCCGCGGGGTCCCCCCCGATCTCTTTTCCACCCTCCGCGCCCCCGTGTCGCGCTGTGACACGAAACAGCAATTTAAGTTTCCGTCGACGGTAGAAATCGTGCGGCACGTGACGTCGCGAATTAACACGTTAAAGGGCCGGGACATAAATTAACGTGTCAAGCCGCCGATAGGGATCGTCGACCGTTCGCGCGCGGACCGGTGGAAACCGGCGAGGCATCGCACGAAGAAAGTTCTCTCTCCCTTATCGAGCAACTTTTCCTCGGGCCGGCGCGGCGCGGCGATTGCGTGCGAGATCCTATCGGCCGATTACCCCACTGTATTCGCATGCTTGTTACGTTTTTACGACGTTGTATATTTCGAATGACCGGCCCCCGCGGGACGCCTAGCTCTCGGCGAGCTTCCACGGAACGCGATGTTCCCAGTCGCACGACCCTCCCCTCGCAGGTTTACTACCGGCTCGTCGCAGATATCTCGATACAATTTTCCCTCGAATTACAATGTGCTCGAGTAGCGCGCAGGAAACGACTCGAAGCGAAGTCTATTTGTCGCGGGTTAAGCTCGCGTGCGAGAAGCGAGACGTTGATCGGATAGCTTGCAGAATTCTTTTTTAGACTCGATTAAGGTGTCCGGAAGGCGATGTAGCATTGTCAACGCGTTGGAAAACACTCGGTTCGGTATCTCGCCAATAAAGAGAAGCACTCTTTTATTGTAAAAGAAACGGCGAAAGATCTAAATATATTTATTTTTAAATAAACGTTGTAACAATGTGTAGAATGCTAATAATCCTGTCGGGGATTCCTAGCTTAACGCTTAACAGACGGGTTGTTTTTTCTCCGTCTTTCTCGGTTTCCAGGCATTTTTTAAAAGAATTAAATAAACACATCTATGCATGATTTTAAAGCGTTACAATTTTATCGAATCAACGCTAGTTTTGATAATATTTTACAAAGTTGTTTATTTACATGTTTAGTAATAAAATATTAATAAAGTATCGATCAAAATTCAAGCAAAAACGTAAATTAACGTGATCCGATCGCATAAAACAATATAAATATTTCCATATTCATAAACGATATTCGTTGTTCGTGCGAAATGAATAATCTCGCCAGTTCATTATCTCGATTAATAGGAATAGAATGAATGGTTAGGTACTACCTAGCCTCTGGTTAAACATTCCGATGCAGTTGTAACCTTGTAGATGAGCCACTCGATCATGTGTTGTAACAGTGCAATCTGTGCGATATTTCAATAGGCGTGGTAGATTTCCGACATTCGTAAATCGTCGACCAACTGATTTTAGATATTTCCATATTTACAGCTACGAATAACATTATAGCGTAGTATTATATTATAACTTTTTCAGTAATCACCGTTTACGAGTACAAGAGGAGTAACACTGTTTTTGCCGATCAATGAAAAATTAAGGTAATTGAGAATTTTGCAAATTAGCTGTAAAAAGTAATAATATAACTTGACAATGAAAAGCACAATTTTTATTATAATATTATATTACTTATTAATATACAAATGAACTCAAGCAGAAGAGAAATAAAATGAAAAAGGTCGATGTTCTTTAGAGAAGGCAAATTAATTTAATTAATTAACGTAGTCATTCCGTGGCCAATATAAATCTATCGTTTATTTACGAAGAAATCGACCGCATTGATTCATCGACCGGGAGATCCTATGATATAAAGTTGTGTTTGCATTGGACTTACTCCGATTGGTTTCCGAACCGACCATATCTAATCGATTTCTGTTTCATGTGCCCAATATTTTGTAATATTTAGTAAACTTTCGTAAGTCTCCAACGTGCAATGTATTGACCCAGGCGGTGACTGAAAAAACACGGTCGAAAAATGCCGAACAGAGCGACGGCGCTCGTCTCAATATGCGTACCATTAATTTATAAATATTCAAAGTTTTGTTCAATAGAATTTATCGAGAAGATAACAATGAAATATAAAAAGTTTTAGTTGTATTATTTACCTATTATTATAGCTAAATAATAATAATTAGCTTTTATTATTATTGTTAGCTATCCGTAGCGTTCAAATGTCCCGGGACATTCCGACACGAAAAACAGTGCGATCGCGTTGCTTGGGACTCTCAAACGGTTAATAAACGATCATTTGAAAAGAAGCAAACAGCAAGTTTACTTTGCACAACAGGAAACTAAACAAAAAATGGCCAATCGACCTTAGATAAGGTTTTAGGAGTCCTTCTTAACCCATTGACTGCCACGCAAATTTAGCGCGTCTTGCCCTGGGTGCCACGGTTTTATTTTAAAGAAAACACGGAGTTTTACAAAATATAATAATATTAAGTTACCGACATAATATTGCAATGGAATTTACAGTATTTTTTTTATTGATAATCAATATGTTCTCTACACTGCATACATTTTTCATTCATCCTTTCTAATAGTCCCTAACTCGAATAGCCATTTATAGGCAATCTAAACTTACAGCAAGAGATATCTCATAGCTGACAGTTTTGTTACAGACGCTTACGTAGTTGGCAGTCAATGGGTTAATGGAGGAACCATGAGGAAACTGTGGACATCGTATCAGCCCATTGAACCCATGGTTCAGATTGCTAATTTATACGGAGAGAAAAAGGAGTTTACTTTGGCGCTCGGTAGGTGTAACGTTCGAAGAAGATCGCGTGCTAGAACGGGGAACATCAAAAAATGATCGAGGCGTGTGAACGGTCGAGGTGGCGGTATTCGAACGGAGAAAATACGACGATGTTGGCGAGCCTAGGAAAATGGTCGTGTCCCTCGATGGAGAAAAGTTACGGGTTGAATAGCTCGTAAAGGATCTCGAACGGTCGGCGGACGCGTAACACGCGCGGATAGAGTCGAAACCGTGAGGCCTCCTCGTCCTCCGGGCTATGTGCATACTTCGGTGTGCACGGCTTCCGCTCGGACAAACAATTCTCTGCCTACATCTGTCGATTTGTCTGGCCGCTTCGCCTACGCGCCGACACGACGTTTGCGCAAACGTTTCCTAGATAAGATCCCCCGGCGTATACCTGGGAATTGACTGCAGTCAATGAATCGCCGTCACCGACTATCCCATTCCCTCTCCGTCTCGTAACGCCCGAAGGAATACGACGCGACTGCCGCGCCGAAGACGAGATAACGGCTGAGAAACGAGGAATTGTTGTAACTGTTTAGTGCCGGATTTTTTACGGGCCGGCCGTCCGTTCCCGGTATCCGTGGCTTTTTGCATTTACGCCCGATAATCGCCGGGTATCGCGGAATAGCCGGCGCTCGTTTATGCGATCGTCTCCGTACGATACGTTTATGCAAATTCCTAGTCCTCCCGGAGAGCAATTTTCCGAACCCGGTCACCGCAATTCCACGGAATCTCGCGTTTTATGAATTTCCCGAGATTTTTACGAGCCGTAAAGATCCGCGGTTTATTCATTGTATCGCGCGAAGTATGGGAGTTCTTGTTATCTCTCGAATCTTGCACTCGCGAATCGCCCGAACAACTGTTGTCCCGCGGCGTATTTATGTACAGCGAGTGCAACACGTCATCGGGCACCATTTCGAACGGAATACAGTGATGTCTCCCTAATTGACGCTCGGATTGCCCACAAAAATGGACAATTTTGGAAAAGGAGATACGGTCGTGCGGGCCTTGTGGCTCGTTTTTTATGCTTATCGATCGTCAACAACTACAGAAACGAGTTGCAAGGCTCGAACAATCGTATCTCCTCTTCCCAAATTGTCCATTTTTGTGCACAATCTGTGCGTCAATAAGGGAGACATTACTGTAACCTTTTTTGTAATCGCGGGCCAGGCGATCTAAATCTTTTCTTCTTTGCTAATGCTTACTTACTACAACGAAAATTTAAAAAATGCGTTTCGTCGATCTCGGCAAATCGTATATGCGTATTGAAAATTCCATTGAAATCGGTTGAGGCATAGACAAGCTACAGCCACTGGAAAATGTAAAAATTAAATGTTCTTGAACGAAATTCGCGAAAAGCTGCTATTTACGAGAACTTGAAATATTAACAACTCGTAACGATGTCGATCGATTTCCATGAAATTTTCAGGCTGCATACAAGTTTTCAAGATCTATAAAATGCATTTTGAATTTAGCTAAAATTAAATTAAACAAAGCCAAGGAAACGTGAGTTTTTCTAAATAATAGCGAAAGTATTTTAGTCATTGTTCGGTAGATTATTCCGTCTAAAATCTGCAAAAAAATTCGACTTGTAGCATTTCCAAAAAGTGCCCGAAGACTATACGCACCTGATCGCGCCGACTGTATCTACGTTTCAAGTGTCCCGGGGCGTAAGACGGACAACGGGGAACCTTCGAGCACAGGCAAGACGAAGTTTATCCTGTTGCAGCTGACAACACGAAGTTACGTTTTTATCTGCAGCCACGCTGCGTGGAGATAAATAATATCTTTTCCTTTCGTATTCTTCGGTGCCGTTATTTATCAACGCAGCAGGCTACAGCGTTTCCGTTTAATTAGTTCGTAAAGCGTAATAAATATATTTTTCTTTCCTGGCGAAGCGAGCGTCGTCGTGTACGAAAAAGAAGAAGAGAAAAAAGAAATAAAACGATCTGAAACCTCCGATAATTAAATAAGGATGGAAACCGGTCTCGATCGGGACGTCGATTCGTTTTGGGCACCGCGTGTTTCCGAACAGACGTCGGAGACGACGTTCAATACCGACGGGGACAGTTATTAAACGTATTATTTCGCTGGCATCGAATCGGCGTCCGCGGTGTTGCGGTTTTTCGAGTAATGGGACTACACGAGCCAAAGGTGGAGGGCATGATTAATGGGCCAGAAAAAAAGAAAGAGATAGAAGATCTACCTGTGATACTGCGTCTGAAGAAAGTTGAAGTCCTCCTTGATACGATCGCACAGCTCGCCGATCGAAAATTTATATTGCTGGCCAGGCTGCGGCGGACCCTGGAACACACGAAACAAAACGAATAAGGTCAGCTCATCCGGCGATCCACAGGTTTTTCATTTGTCTCGGCTCACGGTGCAACGTTTCTCCGTCGCAAAAACCGTTCCCAGGGACGGGGAACGACCAAATTTTCACACGCGATACCGCCGCGCGGAGATACGAATCGCGTGCTGTCGGTCATAAACTCCGCTATTATCTCGAGCGCCACGTTCCTACAATCGTAAATAAGCCACCGAAATAATCCTGTTCGCCGATTCTCGAAGTCGTAACACGCGGCGCATCTGTTATTAAGAATTGCTGCACTTATCGTTCGAACCGATGCAATCCGCCCCGATCAGTCGCAGCCGTTTAGCAACTTACATCTGTTTGCTCGACGACCCTGTCCGGTTCGGAACAGACAATGGCTTCCGTCGTAAGAACGACGAAAATCTTCTTTCAAAGAAACTGCATTTCCTTGCTGGCTTAATTTAGCTTCGCGGCCAAAACTTCTTCCACAGCTCGACGAACGCATAAACTCTTTGGAAAAATGTTGCCAACCATAGTAAAGGGCAAAAAATTATTTAATCGTAATAGTACAGACTTAGCACGTTTTAACTACAGATAACAATTGCTAACGCCGACGATAACGTATGCTAAAAACATTTGGTTCAGCAGCGGAGCCTTCGGAGCGCTAAGGGTTAAATTTCTACTTTCAGTTTCGCCGATCAAATTACTCGGATTTTGAGGGAATGTTCGGAGTTGATTTTCGAGAGTTCGCGTATCGAGTTTAAGACAAGAAAGTATCGAACCGTGTCGATGCTCGATCTTCGATGCTCCGTCGACCCGAATGGTTTCGCACGGGGTTCGATCGATCCGACCGAACGCAACGAGATCGACCGGTATTCTTCGGGCGGCGGGCGTCTGTGGTCGTAGTATTTTCGAAGCGTAATCGGGCGACGTGATTGCGTACGAAACGAACGGTAATCCTTCGATGCGCCGGATGCAGTTGTCACGGCCCACGTAAGCAGCCGCCTCGAGGCGTGCATACGAACGCGAACGGCATAAACGGCGGAAATCGTGCCGCTGCTTCGGCTTCCGTTCGCTGATTACGCCTCTAGTTTAAACGTTGCGCGCACGGTTCTTCTCCGCCGGTCAATTTCAGCTCGTAAAAGCCGCGCGCCCGAGGACCCGGGGAAAAAAAGGATCCAGGAAACACTTTGCATGGAAATCGAGACGCGCGGGCGCGAGAGGAACATTGTTCCGCGAGCCGGCGAATATTCCCTTTCTCTATGGGGCAGAAAAGTTTCCCGTAAGTACACTGTTGCGCCGACGCTACGCCGAGCGTAACGATGCTACGACTGCCGGTTATCGTTTCACAGATAATCGACGCGGTTGCCAACTGTATAATCGTCGAGTAATCGCGGTTAATTACCGCCGTTCGAGAGTTACCTCTGCCTGTGCTCTCGGCTACTTTTCGAATAGGAAGTCGTTAGGCTTTGTCTTCGCTTCGATGCCTGTCGAGTTCTCGGAGACGTCGCGGTTAAATGATTATACGTCTTTGACACTTGGCCGGTGCACGATGGCACATACAGCGTTGTAAATCGAGAAATTTGAGGGCAACTATTGGAAATGGGTAGATAAATAAAAGTAAAACGCAGTGAATTAAACTTATCCCTTTTAGTTTATTAATTTGATGTACGAGGAAGGACCGTCTTTACTCTCCTGATTGCTCCAGGAGACTGAAAACTATTCACAAAGACGAAACCAAAAACGTCACCTAAAGACAAAGAGCACTCTGTTCTATATACACTGTCTCTTATACACATCTAGATGTGTATAAGAGACAGCTCCAGGAGACTGAAAACTATTCACAAAGACGAAACCAAAAACGTCACCTAAAGACAAAGAGCACTCTGTTCTATATACATATGAAATCATTGTTTATCCTGTCTCTTATACACATCTAGATGTGTATAAGAGACAGCTCCAGGAGACTGAAAACTATTCACAAAGACGAAACCAAAAACGTCACCTAAAGACAAAGAGCACTCTGTTCTATATACATATGAAATCATTGTTTATCTAATGGTACTCTGGCGAGACTCTCGGCGTCGATTCGTTTTTGTAACTTATATGCTAGAAGGAAAAACTTCTGAGTATTCAAAAGTATCGATGCCTGTCGAATGTGCATCGCCTTCTCAATATTCGGCAATCTCGAAAATGAAAAAATTAATAAATTATAGTAAATATGTTTTGCTGTAATCGATATTTCCGTGGCTATAAGGAAAAGCGACGCAAGTTACAATTTCAAAAAATTTAAGTCGATTGCATCGATTGAACCGTGGCACACAGGATTTGCGTATTTATCAGAAGAAGAAGAAACGTTGTAAAAACAAATTCCATAGACTGAGAAAGATTATGTAATTTGAAGAACTGATTTTAACTCGCAGATTTCAAGCTGAAAGTTTCGAAGATAGCATTTTTCATCGAAAGATGACGATACTTTTCAACAACGGTCCCCCTCCAATATCTTTTTAACGAAAAGTACATCTTTAAGTTGCAAATTGTCGGTACAAATGAAATATTACTATTCGAAATGTAAAAGAAAAAGATGAAATGCCGATTGCATTGAAAAAGAACTACATGAAAATTACGCCGGAATTATTTTACGTCGTTACGAGTTATAAGCAATCGAGAATTGTGAAAATCGCAGCTTTTTTACGAATTTAAACCAATAACAGGTAATTTTTACATCTTCCGATGGTTTTCGGTACGAGACGCATTTTTTAAATCTTCGTTCCAGGTTCAGATAAAAAGAGTTAAAAAAAGACAAGTGTTTTTATCTTTCGCCGTCATTTTATATAATAGCACAATTAAAAAGAAAGACAAAGTATGTTCGTTGTTGTATCGTAAACTAGTCCCTTTAACAATTAAAAAAAAAAGAAAAAGATTCGGGTCGCTTAGACCAGTGTGAAAAAAGTTATTGCGTTTCGAAAGGCGATCGAATACTTTTTGCCAGGCGTCGCACTAAAGATCTTCGACACGGGTTATACTCGTCGAAGTTCGGAGGGCGGTTAATACGTACGAAGAGCAGAAGGTTAATCTTCCTGCGGGTTTTAGACCGAGATTTCCGAATCGGGAAATCGTCTCGGATCGATAAGGGCCGTATCGGAAAGTCAAGCTCCCTTTGTTCGCGTTGGAACAAGGGGGTCGAGAGAGAGAGAGAGAGAGAGAGAGAGAGAGAGAGAGAGAGAGAGAGAGAGAGGGAGAGAGAGAGAGAGAGGGAGGGAGAGAGAGAGAGAAAGGGAGAGAGTGAGGGCGGTGGAGACGGCGGGGCGGCGACGGCGGCGGTAATAGTGGCGAAAATTCGGTTGCTGCTCCGGCATTTGAGAACCCGCTGGAAACCCACGCTTACCGACTTTGGCGGCAACTGTACCAGCGCCCACGACCGTAAAAGCCACATTATTACCGGTAGTACCGCTGCTACCCACCTCCGTATACCTGTCGGTAATAACGTTACGAGCGTGTTATCGATCGTTTTGCACGTCGTACCCCGCAAAACGGATACGCCACGACGGCCTCGTAAAAGCTGAAATAGTTCTCCTCCACCTCTTCACCCGTTCGCTCCCTCGCCACATCGTCGGCCTTTGCTCTTTCTCCTCCCTCTCTTCGCCGCTCGGCGCCCTTTCTGCAGTGATAAAGAGAACCGTCTATACACCCGTGTATCCCCATACGAGCCGCGGCCTCGGCCGTATTCCCTCCGTGTTTCATAAAAAAAGAGAGAGAGAGAAAAGAAAAAGAACCCGCAAACGTAAAACGTTGATCGCGGAATCCGCGCGCCTCGAAAAACCGGGAATATGGAATGCGTTCCGATTACCGAAGTGAGCGCGCTAATTAACGTTTTAATATTTTCCAAGGCAACTCGTTAGCGTTTCGCGAGCCGCGCCGCTGCACCTGAAATCTGCTGTTTGCGCGTTACAGTACATTATCAAACGCAACGGCTCGCGCGATTTTCAACGGAATATGTAGATAGAAACGCGCGACACTCGCTCGCTCGCGTTTCTTGCGCTCAAGAATTTTTGGCGACGCGTTCGTATGCGTACGTGTTGCGTTCGCCGAATTGCTACGTTCAGATTGATTTTGGGACGCCGAAGAGACGGATAAGGGTAACAGTCGTCGATACGTAACTGTACTATAATATACGTGTTAAATGTTACACCCACGATTATGGAATGATCATTTGAAGCAACTTCTTCCTTTACAAAAATGTTCTCCGAGGCACCGTTAACGAGTTATCAACTAAAAACAGTGACCAATGAAAGGCGAGCTCAGCTGGCGCTAGGCGGCCAAGCCAACGACGCCAGCGGTCGAGCGGTCGAATCCCAGTTCCGCTGATTGGCTCGGTCGCCTCGCGCCAGCTGAACTCGCCTCTCATTGGTCACTGTTTTTCGTTGATAACTCGTTAACGGTGCCTCGAAGAAAATTTTTGTAAAGGAGAAAGTTGCTTCGAATGACCCGAGGAACCCGCCACTTTCAGATTGCGTGACATTTTTGGGACGCCCTGTATTATAGGTTTTATATTATGACCTCAATGTTTTAGCGTTTAATTTTAGGATTAATATCCATTTAATCTTGTACAACGCATAATTTTTTAATACTATTACATTTCTTTTCTTTCCCCGTAAACTTTGTTCTCTATCGCAATTGCACAGATGTCATCCTGCGCGCATACAATGAATAAATGAATAAATAAATAATCGAATAGATCACGCGATCGAGTAATGCGCAGCGATAAGCGCAACTCGATTAGAAGAAGCTCGCGGATTTCACGTAACCCGGAGTGTTCCGAAGACAAAGGGTAGTCGTCGAATGACACGGTTGCCGACCCTTACGGAACGCAGCTAACCCGACTTTGTTAACGAGATGATCGATACGGTTCTTATCAGGTTAGCGTAATATTTGCCAGCGACTAACGCGCCGGTGGCCGCGAAGCCGTCAAAAGCGACGCCGCGTGTCTTAT